AAATGACTGCAAGAGCACAGCGCAGAATGCTTCATGAGGTAAAGAAGAATCCTAGAGTGTCAGCTAAAGACCTACAGAAATCTCTGGCACATGCTAACATTTTTGTTGACGCATCTACAATAAGGAAAACATTAAACAAGAATGGAGTACATGGGAGGACACCACGGAGGAAGCCATTGCTGTCCAAAAAATATATTGCAGCACGTTTGAAGTTTGCAAAAGAGCACCTGGATGTTCCACAGCACTACTGGCAAAATATACTGTGGACAGATGAAACCAAAATTGAGTTTTTTGGGAAGAACACACAACACTATGTGTGGAGAAAAAAAGACACAGCACACCAACATCAAAACCTCATCCCCACTGTAAAACATGGCGGAGGGAGCATCATGGTTTGGGGCTGCTTTGCTGCCTCAGGGCCTGGACGGATTGTTGTCATTGATGGGAAAATGAATTCCAAAATGTCTTTATCAAGACATTTTGCAGGAAAACGTACGACCATCTGTCCACCAACTGAAGCTCCGCAGAGGATGGGTGATGCAACAGGACAATGACCCAAAGCATACAAGTAATTCAACAAAAAAATGGCTTCAACAGCACAGAATACACCTTCTGGAGTGGCCCAGTCAGAGTCCTGACCTCAACCTAATTGAAATGCTGTGGCATGACCTTAAGAGAGTGATTCACACCAGACATCCCAAGAATATTGCTACACTGAAACAGTTTTGTGAAGAGGAGTGGTCCAAAATTACTCCAGATCGTTGTGCAGGTCTGATCTGCAACTACAGAAAACGTTTGGTTGAGGTTATTGCTGCCAAAGGAGGGTCAACCAGTTATTAAGTCCAAAGGTTCACATACTTTTTTCCTCCCTGCACTGTGAATGTTTACATGTTATGTTCAATTAAACCATGGCAACATCTAATGTTTGTGTAATATTATTTTAAGCAATCTGTGTTTTTCTATTGTTGTGACTTAGATGAAATTCAGAGCACATTTTATGACCAATTCATGCAAAACTCCATGTAATCCCAAGGGGTTCACATACTTTTTCTTGCAACTGTATACCCCTCCCTCTCATGAAGGACATGCTATCTCACCTAGCCAAGGGAAAAGTTTTTACCAAATTAGATCTCAGAGAAGCATACTACCGAGTACGCATCAGGGAGGGAGATGAATGGAAAAGCATTCAACTGCCCCCTAGGGAGCTTCCAATTCAAAGTGATGCCTTTCAGACTGCAGGGGGCCCCAGCAGTGTTGATGCAGTTAATAAACAAAGTGCTACACAAGCACCTCTATAAGGGGGTCTTTGTCTACCTGAATGACATCCTCATCTACATTGATACCATGAATGACCACATACCTCTAGTCCGCCAGGTACTGGAAAAACTGGCAGCCAACCTATACATCAAGCTATCAAAATGCAAATTTCACCATGCATAGTTAGACTACCTGGGCTACCGAGTGTCAAAGGAGGGCATAGAGATGAACAGAGCCAAAGTACAAGCCATCCTTTGTTAGCTACAAAGCTTCCTAAGGGTTCAGAAATTTCTACAGGGAATTCATCTCTCCTTTGCAAAAATTACCAAACCCATGATGGACCTCCTAAAGACAGTGGACCCAGGGACGAAACCCTGCTCTGGGACCTAATCTGCCAAAATGCATTTGATTAACACTAAAAGAACTGTTTGCAAAGGAACCAGTGCTGAAGCAACCCGACCCCAAACAACCCTTCGTTATCCAAGCAGATGCCAGTGATGTGGCAGTGGGAGCAGTGCCACTCCAAAGAAATAGCCAAGGAAACCTACAGCCCTGCGCCTACACCTCCTGCAAGCTCACTGACATAAAGAGGCAATGGGCCACATGGGAAAAAGAGGCTTTTGCAGTGAAATGGGCACTGCTAACCTGGCACCCCCTGCTGGAAGGGGGGCAGAGACCGTTCGAAGTCTGGACAGACCACAAAAATCTGAAGGCCCCTAGAATACCATGAAAACAATCACCCAAACAAGTCTGCTGGGCTCAATACTTCAACCTGTTCGACTTCGTGCTAAAGCACATTCCAGGGGGGAGGAACTTTCTAGCTGATGCCCTCTCCCGCATGCCTAGTACAAATGCGAATGGGAGGAGGTAATAGATGCCATTGTCCCCCCTACCCAAACAGCCATCCAAGTGACCACCAGATGACAACGCTGCAACTGGCAAGACCAACCCACAAGCGATCTAACCACAAAACTCAAAACCAAACTGCTAGCAGACCCCTGGTTCCGAGACAACCAACACATCTTAACAAAAAGAGATGACCTAGCATGGAAGGGGACAAAACTCTACGTCCCAGAATCCCTATGCACCCTAATCCTCCAGAGGAGCCACGACATCAAATCAGCAGGCCACTTTGGGTTCCTAAAGTCTTTACACTTAGCACGGAGGCAATTCTGGTAGGCTGGCATAAAGAAACACGTGAACAGTTATGTGAAAAGTTGCACCATCTATGCCACAATGAAGAAATGACCAGGGACACACACACACACACAGACACACACACCAGACTGATGCAACCAGTAGCAGAGCCAACGAGACCATGGGAGGAAATCGCAATGGATTTCATAGTGGAGTTGCCAAAAAATGGGGGGGAACATGGTGATCTGGACTGTAATAGACTTATTCTCCAAGCAGACACACTTCATACCCTGCAGCAGACTACCCTTGGCCCACCAGCTAGCCAAACTGTTCCTGAAGCACATCTACAGCCTGCATGGAGTGCCATGGAGAATTATCTCAGACAGGGGAGTCCAGTTCACAGCTAAGTTTTGGAGGGAGTTCCTGCGGTCCATTGGGTCATCCCAGGGCCTTAGCTTGGCCTTTCATCCGAGCACTGGGGGGGGGAGCAGAGAGACTGAACGCCATGGTAGAACAGTACCTAAGGTGTTACATGAACTATCAGCAGACCAATTGGGCAGACCTCCTGCCTTTCACTGTGGTCACATACAATAATGCTGTTCACAGTAGCACAAGACTAACTCCATTCAAAGTAGTGAGTTGCACGGACTTCATCCCAATACCTGAATATCCAAGGAATCCCCCCTCCTCAGTCAGCTTGACTGACTGATATCAACGCTGACAGCAACCTGGGAGAATGTCAAGAAAACGCTAACTAAAGCAGCGCAAACCTATAAGAAACAGGCAGACAACACCAAGCCCCGCAACAGCCATTCCAGTTGGGGGAGAAGGTCTACCTCTCCACAAAATATTTGACGTTAAAACTCCCCAGCAAGAAACTGGGGCCAAAGTTTATGGGACCATTCCCCATAATAAAGATAATCAACCCAGTCATGGTGCAATTAAAATTGCCCGACTGCTAGGGAAGATACACCCAGAATTCCATAGTAGCCTCTTTAAACCCATGGTCAGATCAATCCTGAGGCCACTAACCCGTGAGCCCCCAAACCCAGTGGTCATAGGTGGCTAAACCCATTATGAGGTGCAGCGAATCCTCGACTTGAGGTGGCACAGGAGGCAACTCAAATACTTAATCAAGTGGAAGGGCTACCCCTTATCATAGGCATCTTAGGTAAAGAGTAGGGACATCCAGGCTGACCTCCTCATAGCAAAATTCCATGCAGACAACCCAAAAAAGCCTGGGGGGGGAGTCGCAACCCTAAAATTTATACCTGTACTCAAATTACTTTGCACAGGTCGCCTTCAGGAAGTGAGGGGAGCCGACTGTCAACTCGCAAAGCATCCCTGGCCTGCTCTCGCCATAGGCAAGGGGGATGGGAAACCAACGAAGCAGCATGGCAGCCAAAAACAGAAGCACATTCCAGACATATCTCTCTCAAGACTGTCTCCCAGGGTCACCCCACAGTGACTGGAGGGGAGTGATCTCTACAACCCACGAAATTGCTCCGCTGGTGAATGTGATTGAGGACACACCCTAGGGGGAGGGGGGGAAACAGGGTCATGATTGGGACGTAAATTACGTGGGGTCAGAGTTGGCTTCACTTGGAACGTGCTGACATGAAGCTCCTAATAAATAACTGGATTTCTTTTGAAGCTTGGCTCGAGGCTCATGATTTAATTAGGGCATCCATCAGAACTCTGACAGATATTTTCAAACTATAGTTCATAGAATCCTAAAAGTCCATGAAAACTTCAAGGGATTCCGTAAGAAACTAAGGAGAGAAAAAGTTCATTCAAAACACAGCCAATTTTCTATCCCTAAGCTTTGCCTCTTGATCAGGATGCCAGGAATTGTTTTCTTTTTAATAGATTTTCTCACAGATTTCAGAGTCTTGTATTCAGCAACTTACTGTGCAGTTCTGTTTCAAATCTTTGTTAATTTTTTTAGTGCTATAAAGAGAATATTTCCCTGACCAGGTTGGCAACAAAAGTCTCCCCTAGTGAAAGGCAGATCAGAGATAGGAAAGTTTAGTTCACTCCAAAAACAACTGCAGAAAGGGAGAGACCTGGAAAGCTCTGGATGAAAGACAGGTATTTAAATAGACTACATGAGTCATCCTGACTTTCTTTAATAGTTCTAGCAGAAGTAATTTATATTACTGTGCTACATAGTGCTTCTAACACTAGTTATACAGACAGAGAAGCTATTAATTTTCATTAATACTTCCAATATTTCAATTATAGCTTAAATCAAAGTTCTTTCCCTAATAGGATTAAAATACCACATCAGGTCTTTGGGGCAGTTTATATATACTCAAATAAACTAGCATCACATATAATATTAAGCTCCAAATTAATCCAAATTATAAAACAGAAAGTACTACTCATCCAAGGACTTCATACCATCAGTACTGAAGAGTGATTTTAAACATGAAAGGTTTGGAAACCACTTTCTTAAACCTATGCTCAACATTTTACCCACAACTTAAAATTACTACATGAAATTTTACTACTAGGAGAACATTAGTAAACAGAATTGTTAAACCCTGGAGTTCTAGGAACATTGTAGGATCTTTTGTTTGTTTCAGAATCAAATTATTTATTACCTCCCAGTCCAGGTCTTAGACGATTATCATAACCATCCAGAAGTCTGTCTAGAATTCTTGTGAAGATGGTAATGTTATTTTTTGCTTCATCTTCATTGGGGTCAGCCAGTGCTGATCTAACAGACATTGAGGAAAAAATAAACTAAGTATGCTTCATGTACATTTATTATAGTTTGAATATGTAGTGATCAATCGCTTTTTAGATATGGAACCTTTCATTTAACATCTCCTTTTGATATATAACTAATGCTAACATAACAGCAGTTACTTTCCTGTTTCTAATTTCCTGCTGCTTCCTGCAGTAAATTATACTCAATATTAAATACTCAAATTATCCATCCTTTTCCACTCTGTCTCGATAACCAATAACCTTGCATGATGTTGAAAAAGCTAAGGTGGATTAGATATGGTCAATACTTGAATGGAAGACTACCAGGAAATCTTCAACGTAGCCAAGATAAGAATTTTGAAAATGCTATCCCAGGAGAAAACAGTGACAACCACTTCTATATTTTTGTTAAGAAAACTGCATAGCATGTCCATGAGGTCACCAGAAATCAATTCTGACTTGAGGGAGACCTTGTTTTACTTTACATAAATGGATATAATCCAGGAAGGGGTTTCTTTTCTATGTATATATGTATATAACATATTTCAAGCATATGAAATATGACAGCATAGCTAGTGGTGCAATTCCATTCCACTAGGCTCAGGTTTGCCTAAGTAACAGTAGCTAGGGAACATTTATATGAACTTTAAGTCTGAAGCAGAGAGGGGGTGAGGCTTTCAATGTTAAAGGTTCATTATTGTCTACCAAATCTTGCCAGGAAAAGGGCCTGATTATTTGCCTGATTATTTATTAATTGCCTATCTCCAATTATTTCTGCCCTCTTAATATATTTGGGCCAAGTGTATACTCCAGATCCTCTCAATTACATTAAATTAAATTAAATTAAATGTTGTCATCTTGTAGTATCTATGTAGCCCTATTATATTTTTATTGATTTTAATAATTGCTTTTTTAGACTAGGCCCGTGTTGGCGAACCTATGGAACATGTGCCGGAAGTGGCATGCGGAATCATCCCGTGAGGAATGTACAGCCTCGCTGGCTCTTCCGCGTTCCTGTGCACACACGTGCGCCGATCAGCTGGCCGTCGCACACGTGGAAGCAGCGAAACCTGGAAGAGCGGTGTTCCATCGCACATGCGCAGGACAGCACCCAAACTTCCGGGTTTATGTTGCACACATACGCGATGGCCAGCTGTTCGTCGGGCGCACGTCCATGCCAGAAAGCGGAAGTTTGGGTGCTGGCTTGCACATGCGCAATGGACCATAGCTCTTCCAGGTATCGGTGGGAAGGCCAGCAGGGCCGCGCATTCCTCGCGAGATGGTTTTGCATGCCATTTCTGGCACGCAGGCCGGCATGCAGTGAAATAAAAGGTTAGCCATCACTGGACTAGGCTATTATGTTTTTAATTATTTCAATTGTGTATTTTGATGTGAAAGTCATTCAGTCTTTTGGAGTGGGTGGCTGTAATAAATGAAATAAATAAATAATAATAAATAATTTTGGTGAGACTCAAATATACCGTGTTTCCCCGAAAATAAGATCCTGTCTTATATTTTTTTGAACTCTGAAATAAGTGCTTGGCCTTATTGCCATGCACTCAAAAGCCCGATTGGGCTTATTATCAGGGGAAGTCTTATTTTGGAGGAAACAGGGTAGCTATTACCTGAATCACTGCCATTCTTAGCAAACGTTTCCCCTCCTTTTAAAAAAATTATTGAAGAAAAAGGGAGGCTAACTACCCTTCTTTAAAAACTCTGCATGTGCACTGAGCAGATGGCACTGCCTTTTCAAAAAAAAAATTGCAAAAAGAGGACTTTAAAAGAAGTTAATTACATGGCAATCCTGGAAAAATTCACCCATCATTTGAAATAGCCCGGCACATTCAAACCATCCAAACATTGAGAATAAAATCAACTCTTGAAAGGACTATATTTATTAGAATTGCCTAAGTTTCAGAAACAATTCAAAAGAACTGCTTCATATCTTGAGTTGGCAGAGGGTTTTTTTCTCTCTTTTTTTTCCCCCTTAAAGCAGCCTTTTTTAAAAGACTTCTGCATGAGTTTGAATAAGCATTTTTTAGGACTTGCTAAGAAGCCTTAAAAAAGATCTGCTGCTTTAAAAAAAAAATAGCAGAGAAGTGCCATGCTCAATTGAAGTATGAAGCCCTTTTTCCAAATAACATTTCAGGCATGCATAGCTGCAATATTTATGTAAAGTAAAAGTAACTTCTTCAAAGTCAAGGCTGACTCTTGTGACTACATGGGCACATCTATGTAGCTTGTGTGGCAGCAGCACAAAACTGGCTTGGGATTTGTTCAAAATTCAATCTAACTTATAGACCTAGGGTTTCTGACAGTCTACCACCCAAGTATTAACTAAGCCCAACCCTGCTTAGCTTTTTCAAAATGTACCAAATCTAGCTAGATGTTGCGATCTGTTTTACTGCTATCAATTACATAAATATAGGTAGCTGGTAACAACCCTTAAAAGAAAGGGTTGACATGATTTTCCAGTCTTTGCAGAACTGGAAACATAATCATTTTTCCCCATAAGAAAAGCTGTGCATAAAGCACTCCAAAATATTGTGCAATGCTGATTTATGGTTACCCATGAAAACAAGAGTTATACAGAACTCCCCAATTGGTGCTATACAAATGAATATCTTCAAGGACAATCAGTACAAAGATGTTGACTATCATTATTTTTTTTACTTTGGACCATCTAAAAATTTACTGTATTCACTTAGGGACTACGTGGTTCATAAGCCATAAATGAATTTCCTATGTTGAATTGCCTTCCATGTTTGTAATTAATGGGCACATATAGGATGACAAAGCAAATGATAAGAGTTCTGCCCAGCTTTTTAAAAAAAACCTGAGATTGGCATTATTGCTGTTAAAATTCTTGCAACAACTGTAATTGAAAACAACAATCAGGTTTCAGTGAAAGACATATATTGATTTCCTAAAATAAGAAACATTATATGCAGAATGAATTTAAAGATGCATGAAAAATAAAATAACCACAATAAATCACTTAGCTTCCTCCTTTCCTTTTACTAAAAGCAGTAATAAATCCAATATGCTTCTGCTGCCTGGCTAAGACTACTACTGAAAAGCTAAAGCACCTCTTAACATACAAATTCAAATAACAAAGACATTATAAATTTCAAATAACAGAATCACATTAAAATAACATAAATATTGCTTTACCATCTCCATGCAATCATCTAAAACTATTTGCCACAGGTTACTTGAGACGTATTCTAAATACCATTTTTAATGCATGCATATTGTGTAAAAACATATGTTTGTGGAAGTATCCAATAAAGGTCTCTTCCATAGACAAATTAGTACACAAAATGACTATCATTAAGTCTAATTCAGAAAAATTTGGACAAACTGGAATCATTTTCTGTTATTTATGCTGATTCCTTGGCAGCAATGTGACTTACTCACTTGAGTAAAGACAGGAAGATCAGGCCCTCTATGGCCAAACTCATACTGCAGTATCTTTGCTAGTTGAATAAAATTTTCAATCTGACTACAAAAATATGTAGCCAATTATTTAGCCCCAAATCTAATTTTTACAATAAACTTTGAAGTTCAATGATTTGATGAAAACAAATATCCAAATATATTAGCTATGATGATAGTGCAATCCAGATTTGAATCTACAAGCAAGAATGTAGTGACAAATCAGTGAATTTACAATAAAAAATGTAGTGACTGGATGCATTGCATAATGAGGTCAGGTGACAATTTAATGAACATTTTTAATTTGTGCTCTATGATACTGTTATTTTAGAACTGCCATTTATTCAGCAGCCAGAAAAGTTGATTAGTAATTCATATCATTGTTTTATTTTATGGGATTGTGAAATTGTATACTATCTCCACCTAGAGGTTTACAGATTAAATAAGTCCGTTCTATTATCTTGACCAAAAATACTGGTCCGTATACAAAACACCCCACTATCTTCCCTATTTTCTCTTGTTTCTGGACTTTAAAAAAATCTTATTCTCTGTGTGGACAGGCTTGAAATAATTAATAGTAGCACAATGACTCCAGGAATCATTGCAAAACATCAAAGAATACAAAAACAGAAAAACAACTCCTAATTTCTGTTTTATTTTAGGATAAGCATGACAAATATCATTTGACATTTAGGACTGGTCTACTATACGTTTACTAGCATTTTACCATCCCCATAACTTTTTCCTTTACTTCTTGTTCTTCATACAATTAGAAAGCTCATGTTAGGAATATGATATTTGATCACTCATCTCTGTATATATGCCATTTACAGAAACTAACCACCAGAAAACAATATATTCCTTAATGTTGCTGACAGAAAATCCAAATTTCCTCTCACCTTGCAGAAAAGCATATCAAGAAAATGAGAAGCCACTGCATTATGTAGGGTATTTTCTTCCTCTTGAGAGCAGCTGTTTTACAAACCCTAAAGGCTGAAAAAGAGAGGATACTTAGCTTATATCTACTTATCGATGCTTTCAGTCAACTCAACTACCATCACTTCAAGGAGGACTTTAAATCTTGGGGTCTCAGAAGCACTTTTTCTCCCAGTGAGCAACTTATTATATTGCCACCCTCCACTGAGATCATGCTTTGCTTGAACATGCAATGCATAATTAAAAGTGACATATGGACAGATGCAAGTAATATTGTTTTCTCTCCACCCTTCTCTGTAACATAAAAAGATTCCAGACTTTTCCCTGTCCAGTAAATTAATTCACCACTTCACCACTGGTTTACTACTACATTTACTCTAATTTTATATATATTTCCAAAATATATGAGACAGAAGAGGAGGAGGAAAGGAACAGGAGGAAGGATATTACAGATATCCCTATAATCCAATGCAGTTTATATCTTACAAATGCTGAACATGTTTGACAGCTGTTTGAAGACAATACCTGTCACGTTCATGAAGACGAGATATGCAGTTCATAAATAACAACAGTCACAGCGCAGCACAAAGTTGCAGAATCTTTTTTAAAAAGGATCTACTCAAAACAGGAGGCTCGTATTAGCTGAGGGGTGAGGAAAGGTTCAGTGAATCCTCTTTATGCACATGCACATCCACGTCGAGACTGGCGGAAACAGAGGCTAACATCTTTTCCCCGTTTCTGTGCAGATCAACACACAAAGCCACTCATTTTTGAGTTTTTCCATGGATGGAGATAAGAGGGGAAGGGGGAAGGGTGAGAAGCCTACCTTGGGAGTACCAGGAGGCGTTCAAAGGAGCTTCCAGAGAGAGAGAGAGAGAGAGGTGGTGGTGGTGGTGGTGGTGATGATGATGGTGGTGGTGGTGATGACAAATAATGATGAGGAGAAAAGGAGGACTTGGTGAGGCTGAAGAAATCTTGCCAGGAGAGAAAAGGAAGCTCGAGAACGGGGAAACTTGGGAGGCTTAGTGGGGGAGGGGGCGCCGAAAGACGACTGCAGCACCAGCACCAACCGCCCCACACAGCAATCCTACGAAAAGCAGCGGATTCAAAGCGGGCTCGGCGTGCCAGGGCGCGCGCGAGAGGAGTGGAAACCCAAGCGCGAGATGGGCGCAGGCAAGCAGCAGTCCGTCCGCGTGCGGGGCTAGTCTTGGGGGAGAAGAAGGAGGAGCGCGCCGGCACCCGCGCACCCGAGCGAGCGGACAGCAGGCAAGCAGCGGCTGCAGTAGGCACGCGCTCCTTCCCCCAATTGGAGTTCCGGAACCGGGAGGGGCGGCGCCGCAGAAGACAGGAGGACAGAGACCACCCCGCCGCGGCTTGTTTCTGCTGCCACCCCGGCGATGTCTCGCGCTGCTGCAGTCGGAGCTCCGCAGGGCAAAAAGGGCCCGGAGGCGCCGTTTTGCTTTCCTGGGTCCTAATGCGGAGCATCCCGACACTCTCCCTTCCTCCCATCTTCCTAAACCTACCAATGGGCAGCAATACTGCCGCCGCCACTGCTTAGCACGCGTGTGTGTGCTCGCGCGCGTGTGTATGTGTGTAGGGGGAGCTTTGTGTCCTTGTCTTCTCTCCCCCCCCCTCCATTTCCTGGGCTGTGCGAATTAGGCCGGAGACTTAGCATTGGTCTCCTCGCCCTTGCGTGGCTGTGCCTCCAACTAGATTCATCAAGTCTGTGTGCGCATAAAAAACGCAGTTTCCCGCGGCTTCCCCGGGAAAAGGAGTGGGGGTCGGGCCCCCCTTCCTCCTCCCACTCTGTTTCAGTTAGAGCCGGGACAGCAAACGTAGCATCCGCTTCACCTGGAACCCACGCTGAATGTAGGGGCGGCTGGCGGGCTTTGTGCTTCTGCCTTTGCGCTTGCTTCGTGGCTTCCTTAGAAGCTTTCCAGTTGAAATCCGAACAGGTTGCTGCAGTGCCAGACAGCCCGGGGCCCCCGCACACTCTTCGTAAAAATGTGCTCCAGAAGTTTGAAAGGGAAGGGCCGGGTGTGAGGAAGAAGGTGCTGCTAGAACGCTACTTTCTTGCCCGCCTCTCCAGCAGTATCGGCAGCTAGAAATATTAGAAACCCCTGCACCTGAGGACAGAAGCTGGGCTTTGGGCTTATTTTAATCTTTCACTTGTCAGAGCCATGTGCAGGCAGACTTCTCAACCCCCTGCTACCTTATTCTCCTCTCTTGTGATGTACAGATTTTCTTTTCCTTCTCACTGGATACCAAGTTCTGCTCAGAGTATGTTGTAAATCAAAGAGTGATGCAAAATGCCAATGTGCGTTCCTAACTCATGCCTAATGCCCAGAATCATTACATTTGAAACAGCTCGTAAGCTCAGAAAAAAAGAATAACATATAGGAAGAGGAAAGAAATGCAAAATTTTGAATTTTTTTGGGCCCTGCTGCGATTACCTCTTCTCCAATGAAACCACCCATGTGGTTTCACAGGGAGAATAGACTCTTACCTCTTCCTTTCAAAAGTAATCATAACTTTTTCTATAAAATAACCCCCAGAGAACTGACACTAAGTGCTCATAAATAAAACATGGCCATAGTGAATACAAGAACCATATATTTGCATAACCTTTTTTGTTACCCATTTCTGATGTAAGAGCATTAAACATGCTTATCTCAGGAACAAGCAAATTTGTTTTCCACATAAATTAATCCCAGTTAAAATGTTGACTTGTTGCTTGATTATCACCAGGAGAGAAGCCTCAAAGCTGAGAGGAGTTGGAGTGGGTGTGTGGAGTGGAAGTGCTTGGAATTGAAAAAAGAACATACAGTAGATGTGTCAGTATAGAAAATGAACTTGGCCAATATAGGAAGTTCATAAAAAGGATAACAAGGAATGTAATGAAGATGTTGTAGAATGATGAGACTGAAAAACTAAGATTGGTGCCCATTTCTGAACATGCCCCATGAGAGGAACAGGGATGGTATGTTCTCCACTGACAACACCTATTTTAGGAAAAAGGTGTACTAGTGTGTATGTTCCAGTCCAATTTGTTGGCAAACATAAATACGCATCCTTCCCACAGAAGAAGAAAACTCCTTTTTCCCCTACACACACGCCTATGTTCATGGAGAAAGCATGGGTCTGATGGTTCTTTTCATTAGTCCAGACCCCCAAAGTCCCCGCCACAAACATTCCAGCAAGCGGCTGTAATGGGACTTCTAGTGAAGAGTCCTTTTGCTTATCTCTGAGGATTGGGCCTTCAAAAAGATACCGGGAGGTAGTATTCCCAGGGGGAAAGAGGATACATAAACCTGTGCTGGACCTAATGGAAAGCCAGATAGGGAAGCGAGGGGGCTGGAATAGACTGGGGCACCTTTCCTTGGATACATTCCAGGACCCCTTCCATCCTCCCCATCTTGTGATGGTGGCAATTGGTGGTAGTGAGAAAGTGACCTTATGGTGAACTGAGTGGTGTGCAGAAGGAAAAAGATCTTTGGTTAGTTTTACATCCCTAAAGTTCGTTCTAGGACCAAGGTACACTTCTGATGGACATTGTTCTTCTGTCAGGGATCCTACAGGCCTACCAGGTTTCTGATGTCTCTTTACACACAGGGAAGGTGACCCTATGAGTTCCACACCTGTGGCTATTGGGCCGGCAATAGGGAGGCGGCTTTTTCCCAGCCGTTGGAATGCCTTATAAAAATCTCCTTGTATCGGAGATACTGGTGCTTTGTTCCTACTATCTTTTTCAAGGACTGTTGTAGCCTTTGTCCTAGCCCAGAGTTGTGGCTTGACAGGAACGGCATGATAAGATGAAGGGCTGGCAGATAAACCCAACCAGCATTTTTGACCTAAGGTAGGGTCATACTGATTAACAAGGTTTTGACCCAATTCCAGTATCCTTGATATGTAGTCTCCTCTTCTCAATTGTTGCAGGGGCCCGTTCTCCTTTTCTATTCCTCCCTTTATCGGGATTGTCAAACTCTTGACCTCAGGTCTTGGAGTCGGCTCAGGTCTAAAGTAACGACCCCACCTACTGATGATACGTCATTGGCAGGAGTGGACTTGACCTAAAGTATCTCTACTTAGTGACCTGATGCTGGTCGGTTCCTTGGGGTTCTCAATATTTCTAGATCCTTCCTCATGGACAAGGGGGATTTCTCGGACACCCACACAACATTGGGAACTATTGTTCAAGATAGTATCACTCACTAGTCCCTTAGCTAATAGTACCCAAAGCCCTAAATAAATCATAATGACCTTATTCCTACACCCACAAGGCCTTAAGAGTGCAAGGCCCGTAGTTTACAAATTCACCACGTCAGGAAGAGGGTTAGGAGTTTGCATAACTTGGGAGAGGGCAATATCAATCATATTCCTAGGTTTCCCACAGAACCAGTCCTTATATATATAAAACAATACCACCAGAAGGGCTAAAATAGTTGTTGCCCAGAGTCTCCACACCCAATCTTCCTCAAGCATGAGTGTCTTTAAGAATTGCTCACTGGATTCTATCACAGTTAATGGGTTTTACATTACAAATTACAGTCATGGAATGTTGTCTTCCTCCGTTCCAAGCTTCGGCCATGCGCGGGGAACCAGCTTCCGGGGTGGTTCAGCAAGGCTGACAGATCACCACCGTGCGTTGAGAGTCCGTTTCCGGTAGGACTCAGCAGAGTGTATTCTTCTTAAACTTCAGCACCAATGGCCTGTCAGTTTTTGTTACCTGGTATGTGACCGGATCACTCTGGTCTGTGGGCTTCAGTCTCGTCCAGTGGACCCAGGATCTTCCTTCTAAGGTCTTAACTGCAAGAGGTGAACACATCACAACAGTATATGGCCCTTTCCATCTAGGTTTTAAGGGTTCATTTTTCCAATGTTTTATCCATATTCTATCACCTGGTTTGTAGTTGTGACCTGCAGTCGTAATAGGGGGAGGTCTACATTCTTGCATATAATGCCTCAGTTGGTTGACATGATTGATGTGCTGTTGTAACTGCAAAAGTAATTTTCTTGCTTCTACCCCCGCTTTTTGAACTAAATCTGGCCAGCCTTGAAAGTGGTGCTTGAACAAGGCAGGGGGTCTACCATACAGAAGTTCAAAAGGAGACAGCTGGTATTTGGTTCGTGGGGCTGTTCTAAAAATGTACAAGGCCATGGGGAAAACTTGAAGCCATGGCAAGTGGGTTTCTAAGCACAGTTTGGCAATAATTGCTTTCAATGATCAATTAGCCCTTTCAATTTTTCTTGCGAATTGTGGCCGAACGAACAGTGATACCTCCATTTCAGACCTGCAGCTTCAGCTAGATGGCGATTTACACGTTGCACAAATTCTGGGCCATTGTCAGAGCTGATGGTAGATGGACATCCAAATCTAGGGATTATTTCCTTTAAAAGAAAGCATGCTACTTGTATAGCTAACTTATTTCGAGTGGGGAAGGCCTCAATCCATCCAGAGTAAGTGTCAATGAAAATGAGCAATGCTTTATAACCATTGCATTTGGGCATATCAGTAAAGTCCACAACTAAGTAGTCCATGGGCAAGTAGGAGATGGGCTGCTGTCCTGGTGGTAAACGCAGTCCTTGCTTAGCATTTACTTGCACACACATAGGACATTGGGAAGTTGCTTTGGCAACCAGACTCTGCAAGTTAGGTATGTAGAATGTTGCTTGCAATTGTTGGGCTAAAGCAGTCTTGCCAATATGTGAGGTTTGGTGTGCCTCTGATACTAACGGCCAGGCAAGTGAAACTGGTACCACTAGGCGATTGTCTGGAAGGGTATGCCATCCCTTCACAAGAGTGGCTTTAGATCTCCTTCGGCCTTGTCCCTCTCCACATGAGTATAGATGGGATGCGATTTTTCAATGTATGATTCTATTTCTTGTGCCATATAGAGATAATAATCATTCTTATCTAGGGGCTGGTGTGCTGCCAATTTGGCCTCTCTATCAGCAAATCGATTGCCTTGTGCAACGAGGGTGTCCGTCTTCTGATGACCCAGACAATGGATGACATTGTCAGCTAAGGATTTGGGAAGTTGTGTGGCAAAAATCAATCTTTTAATTAAAGGGGCATGTTGGATTAATTTGCCCGTAGAGTCAATGAAGCCCCTTTCTTTGTATATGGCAGCATGTGCTTGAACAGTCCAAAAGGCATACTTACTATCTGTGTACACATTAACAGTCTAATGCTCAGATGAGTCCCCACAACTCAGCTGCTTGGGCACTTGTACCTACTGGAAGAGGGGCACTTTCAATAACTGCATGTTGGCTAACTATGGCATATCCGGCATAACGAGCTCCTTTTTCCATAAAGCTGGAACCATCAGGAAACCAGGTAAGCTGGGCATTTGGTGTCAGTCAAGTCTGGTCTACAGGAATACTGATGATCTAACACATGTAGGCAGTCATGCAATGGG